AAAGAGCCTGGACCTATGTTTCTGTTCGCGTACATTGCGGAGAGGCTGGAAGAGCTGGGATTCTGTTACACTTTGAATGTCCCCTATGAGCTAGCATTATTTGGGAAGGTTTTAGAACCTTTAGCATGTGGGGCCTACCTGCCAAATATAGGCCACCAGCAGTGGGCCTTGGCTGATTACAGCCCAGTCCCATTTTCAGTCCAAACTCTCTGCTTCGTGGTCCCCTGAGATGTGTGAGGTAGGAACAGAAAGCCTGCCCCCACGGCCTGAGCAGCTGGACCACGCCTTCCCCACGTGGCAGACTGGAGCTGTGAGCCAAAATAAATCCTTTCTGCCTTATGTTGTTTCTGTCAAGTATTATTCTCATAGCAAGGAGAAAAGTGGCTAATACTGAATCCAAAGGAACACTTCGTCTTTGTATCAGAAGTCAAAACCCATAATGTTTCTCTTTACAGCTTCCAAATTTTTAAGAATTATTTTTAGGTGAACCTAAGCAATCCTGTTTTTATAATCAAATATCTCTACATATGTTCTATTATCTCTATAATTAATTTCTATGATAGGCCATACACTAGCTTTGTGGGTGAACAGGACTGGCTCTTATCCTCATATTTCAGCTGACATTTTATATATAACTTTCTATTTATATAAGCTTGATTAAGGCTAGAAAAACTAAGGAGCAGCAAGGGCTCTGTACAACAAGTAATAGTTTCTTCACTCCTACTCTGTGCCCCAAAGTTCTAAATACTAAGCATGAATTACACACTTCTCTCTCACAGCCAATCACCTGCTGTGTTGTCTTAAGAAAGGTACTTAATCTTCTAAGCCTCCATTCCACATAGGGAATGGAGGGTTAGAAGGTTAAGTACTCCACCCATGATGCTTTTTGGAATCCCAGGGATCATTAACTAAAAACAGCAGATGTAAATGCTTCTCAGTATGCTCTGCACTCCGCACAGGCACATTCATTGGTGCTGTGAGAGCCTTCTCAAACTGAAATGCCTCGATTAGAATGAATAAGATGCATGGATTCTTTTCCTCTCTGCCATCTTAAGCTTTGAGGCTAAAGTTATCAACCTAGGCAGCCTATAAATTTCCTTGAAAAGTGATCCAAATATTGTAGCAGTTTTTACAGTGCTTCTAAAAGAAGTTTCTGGTGACTTCATAATAGTGAAAATATTCCATGTATATCAAATACTTGGCTAAAAAAAAAAAATCAATCTCAATTAAATTAATGCTATACATCAAATCATCTTTGTGACAAATTCAAACAAGCTGATTGAAGGTACAAAGCAGTATTTTGAAGACAGCATCAGAAAGGCAAGCAAATTTAGATGTACCTATGTCCTAATGAACAGTTAAAAAGCAATTTAACATCACTGAAACTCTGCACCGCTGCCCCAGCCCACATATTTCATTCCTTTATACAAGAAGCGGAGTCCATCAATGCACCAAGACTCACATTTATGGAAAACACATGATAGCTAACCCTTTATGAATTTGAATCCCAGCTCTGCAGTTGTCTAGGAATGTGTAATCGTGAAAGTTACATAAATTCACAACACCTCAATTTGTGCATCTGATGAAATGGAGTAACCACTTCCTTACAGGGTTACTGTAAGGGTATAGCTAATGTGTCTAACATGTTTGAAGAATGGTAGGATAACAACAACAAAAAGCAATGGTATTAATTTTTTTAAGTTACAAATGCTGCCAAAAGCAGTCAATAAGTCACTGGCTTTCTCTTTCTTTTACATCATTTTAAATTCACATCATTTTTAAAAATGACTCTTCACAGTTGATCTCTTTCTCTTATATCTACATGGCTTTCCTTTGAAAATTTGGTGATTACTGTGAACAACCATACTTCCCAGAAATAGCACAATCCTAACTGAATCTAACAACAGTACCTACCAAATATGTAAGCATATATGGAAGCTTAGCTAATGTCTGACACCAACATTTCATAAGAATCTAATATGTTAGCTGCCGCTGGTACTTCAGTCATTGCGTGAAGGGCATTGTGGTGGTTCGTAAACTGAAAACTGAAACGAATAGAAGCTCCTCAGACATGACAAGACTTCAGACAACTGTGTAGGGTAACAAAGCATGAGATGACAAAATCAAAATTAGATTGCAGATCACAAGGAAGGGTGACCAAGTAATCTCGAATCCTGGAAAAGGCAGTTTTCACAGTATCCACTGTAAGAAGAATTTGTAAATATCAAGGATTTTCACACTCAAAACCTTCAATTCCAAATTTTCTCCTTTTTATAATAGTACAAAAGAATAAGGCAAGGGGAAATATATTTTGTCTTCCTTTTCTTTCCAAAGCATGTTATTTCTCAGGTTTTTTTTTTTCTTCCCATTCTTGCCATTTTTCTAAATCCTGTTTACAAAGGTCAGAAAAGCATCACTGATCCCTCCATGTCACTTCCCAGAAGATGACTTATAAAACTCAAGCCACTCAACAAACAATAAAGGACGGCTGTACCCATAAACCATCCCAGAAACAGCCACCCAACCGCAACATTCCAATTCAGCGAGATAACATAATCCTGTTGTTTGGGTGTGACTCTAGGAGATGGAGGGAGGGCTACAATTCAAAGTGCTGTCTCTAGCAACTTAGATAAGAATGACTGAACTTGAACCAGGGCAAAACACAGGGTGCCTCATAAGCTGTCTACTCCAAAAGCTCCAAAGCACTCACATCCTTGTACAGGGCCAGATAAAAGGCCAGCAGCTCAGTTAAGATCCTTTGGGTCTTCAAGAAAAGCGTCAGGGATGAAGTTGAAAGAGCCATGCCATGGGATGAGATAAAGAACAGGAGACATGTTTTTGCAGTCTTAAGGGGCTGCAACTCACCCTCAAGAACAGTAACTTCAGCGGCCAGCTCGTTATATTTCTACTGTAAGTGATACAAGCATGAGCAAGTCAGCACCAAAACTCCCCTCAGAGTTCAGCAGGGGTTAGGTCATCTGCCTTCTATTGACAACCACTGAATGCAAAGCCTCTAATGAGGCAACTCAGCAACACTATGTGCCCTGCCACCAGTGAGACTCTTTTTCCATGAATAAAGAACAAGAACATCATTTCTGTTGCCAGGTACACAACATAAACAAAGCTCAACATGGGCCTTGATAGGGTAGGTTTGTCCATTTGAAATAAAGGAATTTTTCAAAGTGCAAGCCAAGTTTTAGTGGAGGGCGGGACAGGCTGTTGTAACAAGTAATACGAACATATGTTATCAGAATTTAATAAATCAGCTTTCGATTGTTGAGGAATGGAGCCTGTGCAATGAGATACATTGAGACAATGAATAAATCCAAGTGAGTTCATTTCTTTACTTGGCAATCAGTTTTACAACACAAGGCTGATGATTTCTGTAACGAACTGAGATCCTCATGAAAGGAGCCTTGAGACCTGTGATCTCAAAGGCTTTTTTTAGTTAAAGCCTTACTTCTTTTTTTTTTGTTGTTGTTTTTGTTTTTGGTTTTTTTTTTTCACTTTCTTTTTTTTTTTTTATTTTTCTTTTTAGTTACATTTTGTTAACTCTGTGTCCCAGCTGTATCCCGCTCCCTCATTCCCTCCCAAAGCCTTACTTCTTAAGGCTTACCCGGCTAAGCACAGATCAGGACTGATGATGAGAACATCAACCTTGCAATGGGAAAAATGCATTTCCAGGTAGACCATGGCATCAGACTTGCTTCTTTGGTACTAAAAGACACTCACTGTATGAACAGTGTGCCCACAATGATAAATAGCTTACATCTCCAAGCTTCAACTGAACAGTGAGACTTTAAAGGATAAACAGAGAATAAAAATGAGCTGATGTGAAGGCTAAACACTCTTCAATTTGTTTACTTTAAAGTATTCCACAAACACTTTAAAATCAGCTCCATACTGAGCAGTGTGTATCCTGTTACACAGGGTGTGCTTCTCTACATAGGCAAACCGAAGCCATCATTGGCTGAAAGCTTTTAGTTTCCATCAATCTGAGCAAGGCTTCGAGAAAAAAACAAACAAAAACAAGCACGCTTTAGCTCAGTTTCCTTAATAGCAGAGGATAACACCACCATCCCTTAGGGAGAATTTTTTGTGTCAAAAATAAAATCCAAATGATATGGTTTGTTCTCTATGTTTGAAGAACTCCAGAAAATCTGTGATCTGAATGATTCTTCAGTAGACTAATGAAGTTTACTAAGAGATTGTTATGTAGATGATTATGCCGTAGTATCCAGTCTACAAGCAAACATGTTTTCCGGGGAGAACTGCTGAAATAAGTCAGAGGACTGAGGCGCGTGACAGAGTCTAAGCATGACGGGCAATTGCACACGTGGTTTTGTACACTTAATCAAATACTAAGTTCACTGGTATCACTGGAAACAGGATAGTTTTAAATTCTCTAGACTGTACTAGTTTATTTCCCTGACTCATTGGTAACAGGTAAAGTAGAAGAAGTTCATGAGGCAGTAACTGCAATAGTAAAGGGCCTTCAAGTAAAGAAATGGGGCAGTCTGTTATCAAGGAAGGCCTACAGGAGAGAAAACACAACTTGTTCTTCAAACATTTATTATATTGTCACCTGTGTCAAGGCAATTAGTTGCTCTACTTTGATCTAGAGCATCAACAAGGCCACCAAATAGTGATCACAGTGAACCTGCAAGATACCATGGGAAAACCTCTTGGTGCTGCTCAATTCCACATGTGCTATCTCTTGATCAGGAGGGAATTACACGGAGACATATAGCAGCCTGGCTGGGAGAGTATCAGCAGAGTCTGTGCCAACTTCGGATAAGAGTGGAACACAAATTATATGTTTCTGCCCTGGTAAGCATTAAATTGAAGGCACTAGAAAATAACTATCATGAAAGTATAAGTGACAATTCTTAGGATATTATCGAAGTCCTACTTGAAACTGTCTTTCCTATCTAATCAATCATTGTATTGTATCAAGCAGAATGAGGTTCTCAAATGCATAAAAATACTCACGGACTTACCATCATACTTTGCTAAGACTGCCTGAACATCAGCATAAGCTTGGAGTTCCAGAAGGGCTTCTAGAAGGTTTTCATGGATATTGAACATGCTTAGGAGGGGGAACTCCTTCATTAACTAGGAAAGAAGAGACCGAGGGAATAATTAATATACGTGCCTTATAGTTTCACATTTGTATTTAAGGAATAAAACACATATATGTAGTAAAATGATTCCTATAGTCAAGTATTTTAAGAAATAATTCTTGAGGCTGGGGAAATGGCTCATGCTTAACATGTAATCCTAAGGACCTGAGTTCAATCTCCAGAACCTTTATTAAAAACAAAACCAACACTAGGCGTGGTGGTACAGGCCTGTAATCTCAGCACTCAGGGAAGCAGAGGCAGGCAGATCTCTGTGAGTTTGAGGCCTGCCTGGTTTACAAAGTGAGTCTAGGAAAGCCACGGCTATACAGAGAATCCCTGTCTTGAAAAACAAAAAACAAAACAAAGAAAACAAAACAAAACAAAAACCAACAAATAAAACCCTCCGGTGTGTGATTATGATCTCCATGCTGTACTGGAGAGTCAAGGCAAGAGAGCCTCTGGGGCTTGCTGCCAGCTATTTTAGCTCAATCAGTAAGCTTGACATTCAGTGAGGAAACCCTATCTCAAAGGGAGGAAGGAAGGAAGGAAGGAAGGAAGGAAGGAAGGAAGGAAGGAAGGGAAGAAAGAAAGAGGGAAAGAGGAAGGAAAGAAAGAAGGAAAGGAAAGAAGGAAAGGAAAGAAAGAAAGAAAGAAAGAAAGAAAGAAAGAAAGAAAGAAAGAAAGAAAGAAAGAAAGAAAGAAGGAAGAAAGGAAGGAAGGAAGGAAGGAAGGAAGGAAGGAAGGAAGGAAGGAAGGAAGGAAGGAAGGAAGGAAGGAAGGAACTAGACATTGTCCTCTGGCCTCCAGATGCACATGTCCACACAAATGTGTATATACACATGCACAAAAATAAATATTTTATAGTATAACTGATACAAAATCATCATATTTATATAATATAAATATAAAGGGACTGAGAAGATGGCTGAGCTGGTACAGCACTGGCCATGTTAAGGATGAGGACCTCATTTTGATTCCTAGCACCCATGCTAAAAATCAGGCAACAGCCTGCTTCTGTAGCTCCCAGACTGAGGAGGCAGCAACATGAGTATCCTTGAGCTTGCTGCTAGACTGGGTCTAGCCCAGCCAGCAAGCCTCAGGTTCCACTGAGAGATGGAACCTGATGTGTAAAAGAAAACAAGGCAAGCTCATCTATGCAACTGCCCTGTTATGGCTGCAGAACACAGTGCAAAACTATGTCAGATAAAAGCCCAGCTTGGAGGCAGGAGATGGGCATGAACTCCTCCTCTAGAAGAGAAGCTAACAGCAACTGAGAGCATCTAGGGGAGAGGGCCAGGTTTCCTTTAGGGAAGCAGCTCCTGGAAGCTGACCACATTTCAGGGGATGGTCCCACGCCCAAGAGTATGTTGGCAGCACAAACAGAACTTGAGAGGATCGAAAAAAAGAAAATAAAAAGTTGGATGTGAAAAGAAGAGGGGTACTTCAGGGCAGGGGGAAGTTGGATATGGATGAATATGATCAAAATAATTGCATGAAATTCTCAAAGAATTAATAGAAATATTTTTAATTTTTATATTTATGGTTGTGAGTCTAGCCTTTAATGGCTTAGCCATCTCTCTAGCCCAAGAAATATTTGCAATTTTTAAAAAATTTTTGGTGAAAACAAAACAAGGCAAATTGTACCTGACAACACAGAGCTGACCTCTGGCATCCATATTCATGAGCACACATGTGCACATGCATTTACATATACATGTGAACCTACACAGTTGAGCACACACATACATGAAAACACATACATATATTACAAGCCTTATAGATAAATAAAAATTATTACTACATTATAAACATATGTAAGTCATTAAATGTTTTTTTTTCCCTGTTCTTTTAGTAAAATGACAAGTCTGAACTTGCACATATTCAAAGTGGGAGGAAACCCAAAAGAGAGAGGCTTTCAGAACAACAGAAGATGTTCAGTAACAACAAAATACCAGAGAGACTAAACCCGGTGATTATGGAAACATAGCTCACAGACTTTAATAGTTAATGGTAGCTAAGCCAGAGTAACTTGGATGGAAGTCACAGAATGAAAGGAGAAGCAAAGGGACACTATTGCTTCAAGCAGCCTGGACAAAACTGAGAACTAGGAAAGCAGCTGGCTATTAGGTAGTATGGCAGAGAGGAAACTTGATAAAGAGAAAGAGAGAGAGAGAGAGAGAGTATACTCAGTAAAACAAGAACCAAGGCTGCACCAGGAAAAAGAAGTGACACAAGAAGTTTAAAGACAGAGATGAACATGCAAAATTTTAAGAAAAAAAATCTGCTTAGGGTCAGGCCACCTTGAGGGCCTAATAAAATGGAGACTAAATGTATAGAGGCCACAGCTGCCATGATTGTTGCATTCCTGAGAACAGTGGACAGCTGGGCACAGCTGGGAACATCAGCAAGATATTCTATGGTTAGGTTAAACCTGGAGGACTGGATGAAGTTCTGTAAAAAGGCAAAAAGAAAAGATATGACTATAACAGGAATACAGATTAAAGAAACATGCAATACTATCCAACTAGATGCAGAGGACAAGTCCAAAGGGATTAAAACATAATAGTGTTCAACTTCAGTGAGAAGTAAGGAGAAAGAAGGATGGACCAAGAATTTTCTAGTAAATCTTCTCTTTTTACATAAGGGTTAAATTGCTCTTGAAAGAGAGAGGACCAGATTCTTCATAAAGGAAATTCATGGTGATCTATTTCAGTGATCCTCAACCTGTGGATCACAGCTCCTTTGGGGACTGACTGACCCTTTCACAGGAGTCTCATGTCAGATATCCTGCATAAGATATTTATGTTATGACTCATCACAGTAGCAAAATTATAGTTATGAAATAGTAACAATAACTTTTATAGTTGGAGGGTCACCATAAATGAGGAGCTATATTAAATGGTCACAGCATTAAGAAAGTTGAGAATAACTGATCTATTTATCCATCTTTTACATGGACAACTACTTTCAATTACAATATGATGAACTCTAGGAAGCTAATAAATCTTTTTTATGTCAATATCCATCATAGGAACTATGCTTAGATAAATAATAATAATAAAGTATAGGTGTGGCAGCTAGCTTTATGACAATTTGACACAAGCTAGAGTCATTGGAGAGGAGAGGGTCTCATTTGGGACCATCCCTGGGCAGGTGAACCTGGGTTCTATAAGAAAGCTGGCTGAGCAAGCCATGGGGAACAAGTCAGTAAGCAGCAGCTTTCCACAGCTCTGCATCAGCCCTTCCTTCCACGTTCCAGCCCTACTTGAGTTCTTGTCCTGACTTCCATCAGTGGTGAACTATGATGTGGAAGTTTAGGCCAAATAAACCCTTTCTTCTAACTTGCTTCCAATCATGGTTTTTCATCCTAGCAATAGAAACCCTAAGACAATAGGCTAATTTACAACTAAACAGGAAACCAAAGGACACATGGTGTTGACTGTCCACTTCCTTTGATAAGAACATTTCCTTTTGCTTTTTTAAAGCCATGAGTCATTTAGCACATCTTTTAATTTTTTTGTAAACCCAAAAGAACATTTTACTACAAAAAACACCTATCAAAACCATTCTCTGTCCAAAAAGACCTACAGTCTGAACTCCCAGAAAAAGGCCTGCAATATTTTCATTGCTATTAAAGGAAGCCGATGAGACAACCCCACACACTGTGGATATTCTGTAACTAATAAAAGTATTTCTTGTTCTGGTTCACTTTGGTTCTGGCTGACATCATCCTTTGATTTTTTTTTCATTTTTTTCTAATTAAAGCTTGTTAGAACTTAAGTTCTCTGTCATGAAGCAGCTGGCAACACAAAAAAGACATTTTCTGAACTGTAACATTTAAACATTTATCACTTTTGACCAAGTTTTCAAGTAATAATCAGATTTCAAGGACACAAGTCATATTATGTAATTTTAAAATGTAATTCCAAATATTAGTTGCTAAAGCATAAATACTGATTCTTAATAAAGCCCAAGGAGACAAGTGCACAGCAGATCTTTAAAATTACTTCGGTGTCTAAGATCCCATTGCTACTCCTCCATGTGAAGAGCTCCCACATGCCAACAGCTGCTCTGCTCTCTAATTTAAGAGATCAGATCAACTTATAAACTTCCAGGACATAGGGGAGGAAGATGAACTCAGTCCTTATGTGAAGACATGAGCTGGGGTGTCTGGGTAGAGGATCCCTTGTTCTGAGGAATAGGGGAGAGTGGATGTAGGAGGAAGGATGGGAATGGGAAGATAAAAAGGAGGGGCTTATAACGGAGATGTAAATAGAATTAATTAATAAGCAAAAGTTCTATCAGATTTAAGGGGTGCTCCACAGGAGGAAACACAAACATGGCACTATAAATACGGCCAAGAACTCGTGTCTGAGAAGCTCACAGGTGCCAGGGGTGAACCTACTATCATTATTATTCCAAAGAGAAAAGGTATTGCACTGCTGTCTAAATTTGTATTTCTGTATGCACAGCTCTCAGCCCTCATCAGAGGAGTTTCCTTGTGTGGCAGATGGTAGTTTAACTCAGAAATCTAGAACTGGTCAAAGTTCACAGATACGTGTCAACTGAGTGCTCAGTCAAAAATGATATAACACACACACACACACACACACACACACACACACACACACACACCAAGGCTCAGGCATGAGCTTGGAAGATGGGAAGGAAGAACAATAAGTACTAGTGGTAGAGGAAGACCAGAGTGAAACAGCACCTTTTGGACATGACAAGTCTGCTGCTTCCATGAACTCACAGTAGCTGTCCTGCCTGCATCAGATTAAGCTAGTCAACACGCTTGCTTGGAGTGGGACGGGTTCAAGAGCTCCTATGCCTAAGCGAGCCATAAATAGTTAACTGCTTCTAGAGAAAAGAGAGAGTTGGTTTCCTTCATGTGTATATCCCCTGGAAGGCTGACCACGCTGCAGTGAATGGCCTAACATCTAGGAGTATAGGGGCAGCCCAAACTGTGGGAGTAAGGGGGATGAGATC